CCGCTCAAGCGTCAATATGATGAAGTGAACTTACGGAATTGTCTCCACGAATATCAAATGCTTTACTACTAATAAGTTAGTATATTTTCTCTATTAATCCCTGATTCATTTGACATCTGATAGAGACCTTTCTTTGTGCCCCCGTACTTACACGTTGATTGAAATACGCTTCCTTACAATGAATACACTATGATGACTAGTATATATTGTGATTTAAAATTCCCACTTATCTACTTCTACTGTTTATACTCAGTCGAATTTGTGACTCAGAATTGAACTCACTCACCCAGTACAGGTTTCTCTTGTATCAAGCCGTAAGTCACATTCATTGTGCGTTACAGATGACGATATTTACTCAGGCGGAAGTAGATGGAATGGGATTCAGACTCAATGCCTGAATGGATGGAAGTCTAGTTAGTGTTCACGACCTGTTTAATAGTTACTACAAGACACACACAAATCCCAACCATGATATTCAGTCGTTTATTACTGCTGGCTCCTTATCTGTCCAGTGGAACACTTATTTAGGATGTACAAAAATTGAGAAGCCTATTGTCCTGTCGAGTTGTAGAATTTGAATGATTTTTGTGAAGTTAGTAAATACTTCATAAGTTCTGGTGAATGTTGTCAATATTACAATGATTACATCTAGATACAGCTCATCGACCGTCACTTCGTTCCGCTGAATGACTTCCATCTAATTGCATATAACAACATGGAAATGGTGCTATTCGCATCAGAATTCATTGGGGTCAACTCATTCGTCAATAGTCATTTCAATCTATTCTTCAAATTGAATTGTCACTCTACTCACCATAAGGAAAGTGTGCCACTGCCTGTGAATTTTTCCTCCAATGAAAATAACCCATATACTGAAATAAAGAAGATCGATAATATTCATTGTGACTGATATCTGATACCTCGACGTATTAGGCGGGCTTCTGTATTTCATTGACCCAACGAACTACACTCAAAACAATTAATGTCCAGAAAAGTTTGACCACACCGGAAATGTCGTTTGGGTGATAGTTAAACTAAAAACACTTACTATCATTATGTAATTCCTTTTCTCAATGTCAAGGGTCTGTGGTTGAAGTCGTACAACTGACGAACAAGGATGTAACAGCAGTAAAGTGTTTCCCTCAGATGACCAGCACGACAGTTACTCTGTTACTCCACTCTAGGGACTGAGGTTAGGAAGGGTCGACCACGAAAATGGTACATCCCAACTTACCCTGAAGCTATCTTTTGTTCGCTAGTAAGAACCTGATACGAACTCAACTACTGAAATCAACCTCAATCAGACCGATTATGACCGGTCTCAGGCAGTTGCTCGTTGGCCACCTCTGTCAAGCAGCACTAATGATCCTTCTGTTTCATGGACCCCAAGAGGAAACCGCCTTCTATACAGTGGACAACCGAGAAGTAAGAACCACTCGCACACACTTCCCTTAGAACACACAGTTTCCCTGATAACAGTCATCACTAGATTAGCAGTGTTCTACGATTTCAATCCAATTCTTGAGTTATAATGTATAGAACCTTTTATATGATGACGTACATTGACTCATGATGAGATACACTCTTAACAAGAACTTGTACAGGGTGGGATCAGTCAAAGTGAAAGCTTGTTTGTATAAGAGGCACAGTAAACTGGATACACCTTCAGGCCTTAATAATGACTTTTAATTACTTTCATCGCTGAAACCTTAATTCTACGATCATTGTCTGGATATCTGCCTTGTTTGCATAGAGTGAATTCCCAAGTCTGTACCACATGTACTAGAATATTGGATCTCATGCAGTGCAGTGTGGACAGCTAGCTGTTCACTAATCTAAAGAAGTAATCACATCTTCTGTATTGATCAGAGGTAAACATTATTTCTGAAATTCATTACGAGCATCTTATCTTCCAACACAGTCTTCGATAATACCAGTGAACAGAATTCTCACTAGTCTATTTGTTTAAAAGGTGTAACTATCTCCCTGGAGCGTCTCTTCTTTAATGGTTTTGATTCTCTGAGGAATATTCATGGGTCTTAAGTCAGGTCTCAGGACAAATCGATATTTCTATAAGCCCACAACCACCCCTCTTCCCACCTCTGACACCATTTACTTCTGTGAAATGGCACGCATAACTCGAATTCGGATCTTAGAATGCTTAGTAAATCACTAGTGAAAAAGAATTCTAAAGTAGTGCTTTTTGATTGGTTGGTTAAATTTTGGTATTTGTTGGTCTTGTCACTCACTCACTGATTACAAGATGAGCATAGGAAGTTATCTGAATGACTGGCTAACTGCTACATTATAAAAAGTAACAGTTTTGCTATATAGCAAAACTATCAGAACATATTCAGAGGAATCATTTTTTCTTCTAGATGAATGTAGCGGTTTTGAGTTTTGCAAGGTTCTTCTTTATCCCTTTTTGTTGATAATATATGCTTCCTGAGTTCTACCTGTTCTCACCCGTATATCTGTGCTCATTATAGTCCTTCTATCTTTCTTTTCAAACCGGGCTGAATATCCAGAACAGTTCAATACGTAGATAAATGAAAGTGATACTTACTATTTCGCGTGTTTTTTCGAATACCTAATTGACACCCAGTCGACAATTTACCAGTAATTTGAATCTACGACATAGATTGTGTCGCATTTCAAAATACAACTTAGTAATTGAGATACGAAACGCACTATTGTTTCGATAACACTTTTGTGCGTTAAAGTTGTAGTCACAAAATCTAACTATATTTCACTTTGTTGAATCTATCGTCATCGTATCACTTAAACCCCTCTCCCCTCACCCCCAACCTGTTTATGCAAAAACAAACCTAATAAATATTATCTCATCCATTCCGTAATTGTTTATTCTGTCTCCTACATTGTTTTTTAAATTATCGTTTTGACACACTGATCACAACTCACCTACATGATTTCCATTAACTCCTAAACGCTTTCTTGTATGTTGTTACGTATTCTACCCACCTTGTTTGTTGCTGACTAGCTAGTTAGTTAGTGTTTTGCTATAAGCTACTTACGACAATTTCACCCTAAAAATAATCAGTGAACTTTGACCTGATTTAGTCTTCTATAGTTTGGTTTGTAAGGGTTATTTATGTTTTTACGAGTTGATCACGGATTGATATCAGTTAGAGAACCATTGAAAACCAGGGAGTACTGGACAGATGCTGTTTCATCCTAGTTTGGGAATCATCGCCAGTACGCTCCCACTGGGATTCGAACCCAGGACCTTCCGGTTACAAGGCAAGCTCGTATACCAGAATTCACGAGCCATTGAATCGGGTTCCAGTGGCTGAATGGTATAAGAGCTTGCCTTGTAACCGGAAGGTCTTGCGTTCGAATCCCAGTGGGTGCGTACTGGCGATGATTCCCAAACTAGGATGAAACAGCAGCTGATTTAGTCTGTTAAGACAAATGTAATATACTACATGTACGCATGTGTGACCAGACTGTCCAAAATCTGTTACAAAAAAAATTACACATTGTTATGTACTCGTCGAGTAGTTTGTAGTCCTGACGCGGAAAGAGGAAAATCAGAAGTTCACCACGTTCACGATGATACTTCCAAATAAGGAAAATAATGACTGTCACACATATGTGAGAGTGAAGGGTACTTAAATGTACGAAATGTGTGAACAAGTGTGTCTATAAAAGTGTACAATGCAAAAGTATATATGAAAATGACTAATACAGATGAACCAATAAACAGACAGTCTTACCATGATTGGTTGTAATGTCATGTGACAACAAGGTCATACCTTGTTTATTTAGTTAATGGACAGACAAAAGCATATTGTCAGTTATAATGGAATATCGATCAATATACACATAGCAAAATATAACAGACTGTCAAAAACAAAACACACATCATGGGACTACATATCACACATGTCAGATAATTACGTCTTCTAACTTGTGTTTTTCTTTCGAAATTCACAACCCTAAAGATATGACTCATTTTTCATGGGCTTTCTCCACGCATACCACACTCAGATGATGATGGAACAGTAAGATAACAACACAGCTGGTAAATTGAAACCCGCAATGAAGAGAGTTCATCGTCAAATAGGGAAAATGTGCTTTTGCATATACGTATATATCTACCTACAGACTGACTTTCAACATAGAACTTTGCAAAGAAGTGCAGTTGTTCAAGTTGCTACACTCGAAGTAGCACAGAAGCATGCAGAAAAGGCAAAACAGAAATTCAAATTCGAAGCAGAAATGTGTCGGCGAGACAACACTAACATCCTAAATAAAAAGAATATAAAGGATATGAGAGATGATTACTTCTTCGCCACTGAGCAATTCCACCAGCAATCTCCAGGCTTTGCTGCTCAGGATACCGAGGACTCCAACCAGACAGTCTACACCTTGTTGAGTAGCTACTAGCTCAGACCAACCAGAGTTCATGGGTTGATGTCATATTTTGGTTTGAACTCCCCTAACTCTTTTTCAATCTAATCCTATTTCCAGCTAATACTGCTCGTCGAAGAGGGTGGTGGTTGGTCATGCGCAACACGTACGTGGTTTATCCATCCATCCCAATCGATTCACCTTCACAACCTCATTGATTCATTTACGCTACTAAGTTAACACACTCTAAGTTTAACCTCACTATTGCGCTCCCAGTGTCATACCATTTGGCATGGGAGGTAGAATGAAAGCACCTGTTGTCAAAGACAGCTAACCTCTACAGGTCTTACACTTTGAATGGCTATGTCTCACAGCCGTAACGGAGGACAGAACAAGCAACTGTGCAGTACACAAATCCTTTGATCGATAACCGGATATGACATAAGTTGGTAAATATCAACTACATGAGTCTTTTTTTTTATTAATGTTGAGATTTCGTCAACACAATCAGTCCATTAGGGTTGATACAACCTACTAGATAAGTTAAGAAGTGGTCAACACACTCTATCACCCTACTCACCATCTACACGTAAAGGCAAAGTGAAATAAGAAAAAAGGTTTATAGATGATAAGTAAAGTATTGATGTATATTTCTGTAGAAATATATTTAATGAATTCTGTGTTAACAGCGAAAAGATAAAGTTATGAATAGACACATATACAGACATACACAGAAAAAAATAGGCATAAACTTTTGAGATTAAGTTTGTTGAAGAATATAGCTATCAGAGTTACTGTGCACATATCAAAACAATATTTGCATGTTTGTAAGAACAATAACAAAATATAGTAATAATATGATATAGTCGAGTAAAGTAAGCATAATTAACGAATAAGTACACAAAATTATTGATTAAACGGTGAAGAACTGAAGTATATTGTTTCATTTCTTTTCTCTCAGTTGTTCCAATACTTCATCTTGCAAGTGATTACTTATTGTTATTGTCATTAGTTTCATCCTCACGAACACCAGTGACGGGGCGTAAACCAAGTGGAGAAAGTACATCGACGATATTTTTATGAGGAGAGGGATTTTTCTGAGTCGAAGCTAAACAGTGGAGATAAAAAGAAAAAGAGGAGAGTTGATGGGAGGGGATGGAAGAAAAATACACAATATAATCTTCACCAGATCTCAAGAACACTGATGATAATTATTACTTGTGTTTAATTCAATTCTGATTTTCTCGTTAATTGGTTGGACCGAATGTTTTAGTCTCGGTTGAAATGTCGGCGGCTTCTAGTACACACACTTTGACGATGTCTGAGGATAAACTTGAAGTAATTTGGTGAATAGTGACTAGAAGTGGCTTACGTAGCCGAAATGGTCTGGTAGAAGACGGGTTGTTGTTTGAAACGATAGGAACTGGGCTCAAGTGTCAATGGGGACACTACCACTCACTGGGGAATGCAGGTACATCCAAACTGACGAGTCCCAAGTAGGACGAAGTATTCATCCCGGACGCAACTTCCAGTCACCAGCCATCAAACTACTGGTGATAATTGTATAAGACAGTACTCTACACACACACACACGATGTCCGGGCAATCCAACTTGAATGGTCAGGTAATGTAAGTAAGGTGAGTAGGCATACATTGTTAAGCTTGACCAAAAATCTAGTATTGATCATACATGATGTGTGAGTGTAAGAGTGAATCGCGGGGAAAGGGCTCTGAATTTAGGTTTTGCGCTTATCGGGAAACGTATTTGCAGTAGGTAAGTTTAAAAATTAGTTGAGAAATGTTTCAATGCTAAAACAAAGTTTTTATCAATCCAATATTTGATGATGACGATAATGCAGGTAAGTATTCTAAGAATTACTTACTAGTGTAAGAGGAGAATGTCGACTGGTCATATATGGGTAGACACACATTCACTTTTAGGAACGAACCCTCAGCAGTGTATTACCCGTTGCTGTGGTTGTTATTTTTCCTGGATTTATTTAACATAATTCTAGTTGTATGATGAGTTAAGAGTTCAGATGAAAAGCTGAAATTAATTATTGGCCAGATAGCATACATATTATTCGGGATCAGTAGAGAAATCTTGACCCAATCATTCTTTTACTGAAAACTTCAGAAGTGTCGTCTCAAACTTCCTTAGTGGTTTAATAATCACGATGTCTTGAATAGAGTAATTGTTGAACCTTATTTTTCACATAATATTTAAGATGTCGATCACTTCGTTGAATTTGGAAATATCTGATTTTTTCAGGATGAAATTCATTTCAAGAGTGATCACAAATTAACTTCACTCAGAGAACTATTAAAAACTAGAGAGTACCGGAGCTACAGACTCCATTAGTGATCGAACCCAGGGCCCTCAGCTGTTTACAAGACGAGTTCGTTGACACATTTAGCCATTGTGACGCGAATTGGCAGAAGTTAGAATTAACGAGCCATTGAATTCCGTCCCCGAGGCTGGATGATTAGGGAGATCGCCTTGTAACCTACAGGTCCTGGGTTCGATTCCTGGCAGTCACAGGAGGCATACTGTGAAGACTCCCTAACAGGACGAAACAACCATCCAATACTTTATTTCGGTTTTCAATGGTTCTCTAGCTGGAGTTAGTTCACAATCGATGATGAAATCCCTGCAAACCAACACATGAAATTAACTCGTCCGATGATTCATCGAAGCCCCTACCGATGGAGCGGGAGCTTACTTCATCGAAGAAATTTTTTTAAATTCCCCAGTAAAACAATTATTTTCTTTGAGGTAATTTGTAGCTCATAATGAAGTATATCACTTACATATCAATACATTAATATCACATTATTTTACTTACAATAAAGATCAGGCAATCTGTTACATAATATAGAGAAGTTACTTAGTGACTCATTGATAAGCTCTTGACTTTCCAGTCATTGGGTTCCAGGTCCGAATCCGGCTCAGCCTGTGCGCAGTCAGACGGTGTTATCATCAGTCCTGATACATACACAAACAATAAGCATATCTCGTAGCCTAGTGGTGTAACCATGGATAATATTTCCTTAACATGAAGCATTCATTTTATAGACATTGATTAGGCATATATAAATCACTTAGTGACTATAAATCCCGTCACTTAGCTATAACAATTAATAATTACAGTGTATAATGAATACTGTGAGGATGTGGCTTATTTTAGCTTAAAAGCCCGCGTTTATATCCCACTCCACCAGCTTCAGTCTGAACAACTACTCAGTGTCATTAGCTCACACATAATAATAAGTGTAGCTCTTAGGCTTGACACATGAAACATTTGTTCCGGCCAACTGAATCCAAACAACTGTTATAACCCAGTAAAAAGTATACAATACACACATATCAAGAAAGTGTTAGTGAAAAAATTGTAAAGTAGAAATGAAATACAAAGCATTCAAAATATAATTTACTAATATGCATACCTGAAGCAGCTTCAGCTCTTTTAGCTTCTAAAAACTGAAGAAATCTAGACCTCACTGGCTTTTTCGGTGTAATCTTCAGCTTTAGAGGTAAATGTAACAAATATACAAAATAATAAACGTTTAATTGAATATAGATTTAAGCATATATAATAAACACATACACCACACTAGTAGATTCTGATTTACTATGCATCACCTCTATTACTAGAAAATAAATATCAGTTACAAAAAACATTGTTCAGTAATCGCTGATATGTCACAGTCTTCTACATTCCTTGGATGTTGGGTGTTAAGTAAGTAAGTAAGTAAGTAAGGGAAGTCAATCGATGAGATTGTGTGAAGCTACATCGACTGGGATGGCTAGAACACGTGTGTTACACGTGCAGAACCATCAAATTCCTCCTCCAACCGATGTTACATTATGTTGGAGAAAGAGTTCAGCAGGGTCATATCAAAATATGGTGTCAATCTATGGAGTTCTTGGGCAGTTGGTTTGAGATATGTAGAGATAAGTCGTCGTCTAGACGCTAAAATCCAGTGACTTGAAACTGTTGGTGATATGTCTATCTGTCTGTTTTCGACATAGAACTTTGTACATATGTGCGGCAGTTCAAGTCGCCACACTCCATGTACCACACAGAGCAAGAGAAGAAAGTAGAAGAAATGCATAATAGAGACAGTAAACAGAGGTGTCAGACAAAGGAAGAGTAATAACGAAGAACAAAACAGCTTCATTGGAAATCATAACTCACAAGGAGTGGATGCATCTGCGCCAGCCATTGAGAACGATTTTGAGCCATGTCGCCAATTGTTTCCAACCATTGGTTTTTACCATCCCGAGGACTCCAAACAGTCAGGAAGTCTACACCTTCCTACGTGGCTTAGACTAACTGTTGTAGATTTGATTGACTGATGCCATGTTTTTGTTTGACCTCCGCTAGCTTTTTTCCAGCCTGACCATATGTCACCTAACATCGCCGTCCGTCGAGGAAGGCGTACGTAACACATGTCCTAACCATCTCAGTCGATGTAATTTCACAACCTCGTCGATTGATTTCCCCTCCTTACCTACCACTCGACGCCTAACCTCAATATTGCTAACCTTATTATGCCACTTCACACGGGAGATAGAACGCAGGCACCTATGATAAAAGACAGCTAGCTGATCTTTTCATATCTTCCACTCTGAGTGGCCAGGTCTCACAGCTGGCCATAAAGGAGGATGGAGCGGATTGATGAGCAGTACACCCGTCCTTTGGTCGATAGTCGGATATCTCGTCTACGCCAGAGACGCCGTAAACTGGCAAACGCGAAACGAGCCCCCTGTATTCGTGCTGAGATTTCGTCAGAGATCAACCCGTTGGGGCTGATGGTAAGTGAAGCGGACAACGTGCTCTACCACTTCACTCCCTATTTCTAATCTAGGAGTCAGTGTAGTCCAGTCCTGTAACATCATCTTGCATTTGGCGGGAGCGAATCGCATGCCAAACATTCGTAGATTGCGGCTCAAGGTGTTTAGAAGACTCTGCATTTTGTCAGCGTCCTCGCCTAGAAGGACCATATCGTCTGCACATTCTAAGTCAACGAGATTATTCCCTGGCTGCAAGTCAATCCCTGAGTCGCTGAAGTGAGTTAGGGTTAAGTCCATTGGTACATCTATGATGAAGTTGAATAGAAAAGGGGATAATGGGCATCCTTGGCGGACACCACTAGTCGTCACCAGTTCAGATGACAGCTCGCCGTAAGCCCTCACCTGGCTGTATGAGTACGAGTAGAGTGCCTTAATCAGTGCAATGTATTTTCTCGGCATTCCCTTTACAGCCAGCATCTCCAGAGAACCTCTCGGTCGACATATGGTGATATGGCTCAAAACTGTTCTCAGTGGCGCATTAAGTCTTTAGGTTCATTCAAATTACTTTTCCTCCCTATCAGTGCAGTTTTGTTTTCATGAATTTCGTTTTGCTTTCCTTTCTCTGACTTTGTGTGCTACATGGAGTTTGGTAACTTGGACTGGTTTTAAAAGCTAGCTAGCTAGCTGATCAGGTGTACTATTCTTTATTAACAACAACTAATAACATCGGAATACTAATAATTTTCTTTGTTAAAACTAGTCCGGAGAACGATTCATAACAATACCAGTTCACAACAAAAATCTCGGTCGAGAATAATCAATTCAATTTACTCTTACCCTTATGTTCGCAGTACTGATCATATTTCTGAATTGCTGTGAGATCCTGGACACTTTCTATAAATATATATATTCGACAAAAAATGAGGCTTACAGGCTTATTGTTAAACACTAGGCGCATACACAGTGTTTCAGCAGGATTGATGACATTTATTAAGTAAGGATAGAAGTTTATCATAACGAATGATTTTCTTATACAAAAAGTAGGCTAACCACGTGACCATTTATCACTGGTCAACGGGTTCACCTTATAACCTGATAGCTGTGCGTTCGATCACCGAAGGGGTCATAGATGAGTGCTGTTCAAGAGTTCAAAGGCGGGGTGAAATTGTTTTTCAGTGTCCCTGATATCAGTTCGTGATTTAATTTGAAACTAATCAAACCCTCGAGAATTAACACTTCAGAATCATTTATGAATAACTTAATAACACTTCACTGACTAGAGTAACATTGAGATTTAGACAATATTTGATGAAACCGGTTTTGTGAATACCTGAACCAAAGATCATTACCTGTACTCAGTTGATTTTGCTATCGATCTATTTTCACACTTTACATCGAATGTACTAATACAGTGCGTAAATATAACTGACATATTTTCTTGCATCTTAATGGATGATTACAACTCGCACTCCTTCGATTTCACTACAAACATAAAAGTAACGTGTTTCACTTGAGAGTCTCTCTTTCACACTGTTAATATCACAACAACCAGGTATCCAATGATTAGTAAACTTCCAAAAATCCAAAACCTTTATAAACTCATTATATAACCTACTATGCACATCTATCATGATTATGATATAATACACACACTTGGGATAAGGTGAAACATGATAATGGGAGATTGAATATAGCAATGATAATAATAATTGTGTCACAAGATTATTAGAATTTTGCTGTGTTCAGTTCACTGATGTAGTTCAAAAAATATTCCTATAGCAGCCGTCACAAACCACCGGGTGCAACCGAGGGTGGGTAGACTTCTGTCTTTGCCTCGAAATCTTCATGTGGCCACGTGTTCACAGACTCTGTCAAGCAGATCCTATTCACTGTCTTTACGCGGCGGGTACTTCATATAAAATTGAAGAGGTGAATACGGAAGTCTGGAACTTACAACCGGACTGATGGACATTCAGGTCTAACTAAGGGATCTGTAAAACCCTGATTCAAAACCTATGATGTACATGGGCTCCAGAATCCGAAAGGATCTAATGGTCACTGTCAATCATAAGAACGTAACTCCTGATGCTGATTCACTACCTACCTTGTGGATCAGACTTAAAGTCAAAGGCTCAGGAGAAGTAACTCCCTTAGCATAACCATGTGCTTCAGTCTGGGCCGTCTGGGAAGTAGCGTAGCCTTGGCGCACAAACTATGAAATTTTTTGGAGCGCATTTTTCTTGATACTCATGATGTAACAAGTTTGTGTTTTAATAACCGTTAGTTGTGGTCTCTTATTATTACTCCCTGCGTGTTTCGAATAGAAAATAGGTCATCAAGCCTTAAGCTTTGAAATTTCAATAGAGACAGTGTTGATTTGGTTTTACGAGTTGGAGGGGGGGGGAGGAGGTTGCTAACTTCAACACCCTCTCCCGTCACCCCCATCTTTTCCGAGTTTACTATCGGCTAGTTAACTAAGTGAGATTTAAAAGTGGATCAGCTGGGAATTGAACTAGGACCAAGTGGGTAGTTGATTTATGGTTTGAACAAGGCGAGCTAGTAGACTATTCACCCACTGGGAACCGATCCAATGGTCCAATGGTGCTCTAACTGATGTCAACTAATGATTAAACCTGTAAACAATATTATTACCACTGTTAATACAGAATATCAACCGAATATCATTCATTACCTTAGGTGTTTTAATACCAACTGAGTCTGATGTTGGAGAAGTTAACGCATTCTCTACTTCATTCGCGTTGACAAATTCACTGTTAACAGGTTGAGAATTTTTCAGTTTACCTCTCTTTGGATGTGATGTTATTGTCGTTGTATTTTTTACGTGTTTTGGTGGACGACCACGACGTTTAATAATTTCCGATCTGGCTGGAGTAACAGGATACTGCTCCACTGACCAGTTACAGTCTTCACGCCAAATACGTAGACGTTCAAAAGCATTATCAGATAGACGAATTTCATTAGATACTAAAGTCCAATAGCCAAGAAGATCGTTTAAATCCGTTTTTGGTGTATCATTATCATCAGTGTTACACGATTCAACACTTTTCTCGGCCATTTCAATTAAACTTTTAAAAAATGGCAATTTTTTCTGTAACAAAAGCTCACACTTTCCTACGACTGCTCTAACAGAATCCCGTGCTATATACAGAGAGGAAAAATATAGTTGATAATAATGTGGATGAAATATATAAATATTGTTTTGATTTACTAAATTCATTATCGTTATTGGATAAAACCATAGCAGTTGAACAAAAGGTTAATAAGTTAGACAAAAAGACTGTAGTA